TATATATATATTATATTTTTAAATCTTGTTTTTGACTACAAAATACTTAGTCAAGAGATAATTTCAATTTTAGTCTAATTTTGTAAACATTAGGTATTTTTTTATATTATTATTTTCTTTGTTGAAATGGAACATAGGAGAAAATAATTGAAAAAGTTACAAGTTTCAAAAGGAAAATATCACTCCAAGTTGCACATAATTGCAGCTCTAAATTATAGAAATTCGCTTAGAACTACCACAAATTCACTATAAACTACCACAAATTCATTGAGCGAATCAAGATAAAGAGCAACACTAAAAGACTATATCAACTCATTTAGAGTGAGTAACGTGGATGCTCTAAGCAACTACAATTTGCTTAGAACTATCATAAATTTGCTTTAAGCGAGTCAAGATAGAGAGCAACACTGGAAAATAATATCTGATTGATCAGAGCACACACCCTAGGCACTTAAGCGAGGGAATTCACTTAGAGCTTCCACAAATTCACTCTGAGATGGTGAGATAAAGGACACCCCTGGATGTATAACATGGACATTTTGAGCAATTGGACTCAACCTGAATGTCCATAAAAAATATATTATAAAATTAGAATTTCTAGAAGACTCTTCATTGATTCAGTTTGTAATACAATTTTTCTTAGTACAATTCTAGAGATATTAGAGATATTTCTATGAGATCAATACGGGAATCACAAATTATTCAAAGATTCATTTGATGTTGTAATTCTTAGTCATGAATAGTTAAATTTTCTATTGTTGGAGATCTTGAGGTAACTACTAGAATTATGTAAATTCTTCCTATTTTTTATTCAATAAAAATATTATTCAATTAATTATTTTTCTTTTGCTCTTAATGTTTGTTTTAATTTGATCACCCAACACATGATTTATTATAATTAATTAAGGTTGGGAATCATTTTTGAAACTACAATTTGAAAAAACATTAATAACATTTATTATCAAGGAATTAAGATAAACCTCATCAATTGACTTTTAGTCTCAAATCTTAATGCAAAATTATTTAACAAAAATTAAGAAATTGAGATTTTTCTTAAAAAAAACAGAATTTTTCACCTAAAAAAATAAGTTCTAAATACATATGTGAACTGTTAGATTAACTATTTAGTTACAAACCGAATAAAAATTTATAAAATTTTACATAAAAAAAGTTAATGAATCAATCTTCAACTATTTTTATTAAATATTAATTTTATCCAAATTATTGTTCTCGTTCAATTTTAGTGATCAAATATTTATTTACGTAATTCAATCTAAACACTTTTTAATTTATGCATTTAGTATCATAATTATATTTAATAATTATAAATAAAAATCTTTGTGAATCGATAACTTGAATTTTTATCTGTTCCATCAGTTGATATACTTCCTAAATACATATCATTAGTCTACATCGTAACGTCCAGTATAATAATATATGATATCCACTCCATCTGTGATCTTTAAGAGGCCTCCATAACTCCATAAACAACTTATATTTAGTTTGATGATAAACGATAATAGTCGGATAGTCCAATTTTGTAAATCCAACCGTTAGATAAAAAGTTCATATCACTTTATATGTGTATAAATTTTATTAAAATTGAATAACAATTTGAAGGTGATCAAAGTGTTCATATTTTAATACA